AGGATGAAGCTTCGTAAAATATTGAAATCCGTTTCCTTGGCTAGGCATCACTATGTGAATCGACAGCATTTAAGGAAGATAGCATATGGACATTTCAAAAAATTGTATTTACCTAGTGATTCTTCACTGTAAGACAAATTTAGTGTATTTATAAAGCGAACCGTGATGACCACGTGATCATTAAGATCAGGTTCTAAACAGCCCATGTAGGCAGATAAATTACAACATGCTTTTCCACTTTTGATCAATACGGAGTAATTGGTGACAACTATCTGTTGATAAACCAGATTGGTAGTATTAGTGACAAAGCAACAGTTGCCTTTGGCGGGATTGAGTAGTGATTTTAAACTATTATTAGTTTCATTGTTATCTTTATTGTAATATTGCCACCGTTGTTGAGTTCTTATGGTGCCCCAACTCGAAAAGTTCTCAGATGAACACTAAAATAAACAGAATATTTCTATTGAAAAAACGTTCTTTAGTATACCTCTATCTCAGCTCCACCATCTATCACCAACTGCTTCGAGTCTATGTTAGAGAATGAACCATTTGGAAAACGTGTATTTATAATGTAATTAGGTCTTTCGGTATAGGGAAGAATGATATCGCTGTCATTCATATTACTACCGAGCATATCAGTATTAATCAATGTTAAATTCTGAACAAACGTATCGAGAAATTTCGTGTTGGTCAACAGCGTTCCTTTAAAATTGACGCCATCTAAATCTGAACCAAGAAAAGTGGCATAATCAAGAGATGTATCAATAAACTGTGTTTGTCCAAGTGAACAACTAATGAACTGACTTCTGTTGAATGTACCTCCATTAAATACTGAATCCATCAGTCGACAACCGTCGAACACAATATCCAAAGCAACGACACCTGGCAAGTACAGGTTCGGAAGGATACATCGACGAGTGGACGAACGAGTGAAACGAACTGAAGTTAAATCAGCTCCATCTAAGTCGAGACGTTCTGCTTCAGGAACATCTTCTCGAATCAATTTATTTTCATATAAAAAGAAGATTATTTCGCTCTTGTAATGGGCATCAAGATGGCGTAAAGCAGTGAGTGTCTTGGCACGAATAGTTAGCAGATGTTCACTGTTGTTTCGACGAAATTGTGAACTAAGAAGACGATCAGATATGACATCAATATAATTATCGAAAATGAGTCGTTTATTTTGAGCATCAGCCACGAGTACATCTTGTTCGCGAGTCTTTCGAAAAAAATCATTTTGTTGTACAGTAAATGTGACAGTAAACACTCCAAAGATGATCGTTGGGAGAATTGATATTATAACTCTTGTCCAATAACTGAAGCGACCCTTCTTGATGAGATGTTCCGATCGATCGGAGGTTGATATTATTGAATCACTTCTGACTTTTTCCAAAGCCATTGGAAACCTGGATAATAATCGGCACCACATGACAGTTTCACACTCAAAAGACCGATACGATGATTAAACTGAAGAAGGAATGCAGCAGAGTAGCTTTGCTATATAGAAATTGAGACAGTTATTATGTTAATATATATTTATGTCGTTTCATTAATGTGAAAATTACATACGATATAAGGTCTATATTGAGCAAACATGAATGTCAATATTTCTGATATCGTGTAAATACGATAAAATCAGACATTTATCAATTTTCTTTGTAATTTATGTATTTACAGATCATTCAGTTTAGTTTGAAACAAAATAGAAAACTTTTTATTTTTTTATTTTTCAACATTTATTGTAACAGATGTTCAATATCTGATCTAAAACTTTTTATTCCCTCGACTGAAGAGAGGGTGATACGGAAAAAACTCAAAAGCGTTTGTGGCGGGCTTTGTGTCAGGGTCAAAAGAACACAAAGGTCAAAAAAACATAAGATCACCAAATCGGACTTTCACTCTTCGAAACTATCCAATCAGAAGTATTCGACCCCACGCTTTCGACCAATCAGATTCTTTCAAGCTAAAAAACCGTCCAATCAGGAGTTTTCGACCTCGCGCTTTCGACCAATCAGATTTCTGCAAGCTAAAAAACCTGCCAATCAAGGGTTTTC